GAAACTTCTGTTTATTTTTGGTCTGCCTTTTGCTGATTGTTTTGTGATCAGTAACTTCTTGTGAGGCCAGGGCCTAGTATTCCTTTGTGTAAAACCTTCCATAACCTTCTTTCTCCCTTTTATGAGCTGAATTGACATATTTGCATGAAATTTGTGGTCCCTAAATCATTCTGTAAAACTGGTGAGAGTTTTCTCTCAGCATCTGCCTCCGGTGATGTTTCTCTTAACTGCTTTTGTATGTACTTTAATTAACAAATAGACAGGCAGGTAATAAGTATTTATTAAACATCTTATGTGTCAAGCACTATGGCAAATATAAGCAAAAAAGAAAGAGTCCCTGACCTGAAAGGGCTTACATTTCTTATGGGGAAAAGTAACATATAAAAGGAAATGAAAAGGGGGAGGAGAGAAAGTATCAGGCCATAGAATCACAAGTCCATAGAATCACAAGCAGAGTCAATCAATCAATAAATAAACATTTATTAAGCACCTACTATGTGCCAAGCACCGTACTAAGATCTAGGAATACAAAAAGGGTCAAAAAACAATCTCTGCCCTCAAGGAATTTACAAACTAATTGAAGAGCAAAGCATGGTCATCCTCCGCCATCTTTGAAACAGTGATCCCAGATGAAACTCATCAATGAGAGAAGTGGGTCGAGACATGTTCTAGGCATAGGTTTCCAAAGTGGGCAATACCTCCCCCCGAAATGATAGGTAGTAGCCTCCGGTGCAATTAGGCTTTGTTGAATAAAAATAAGGGTTAACCTTAATGTAATCCCAGGGGGTTGCTGAGCAATTTTTTTCAAAAAAGAGGTGGTATGCCAAATAAGTTGGGGAGCATCTATAGGATGAGAAGACTCCAGGAAACCAGAAGAGTTCCAGGGTGAGAAGGCAACTGAGGCATGGAAGCAGAGTATGTAATTAATAAAATAAATTTCTTTAATTAGCAAGTAGTACTTCATATTACTGTACCACCACACTAGTTGTAAAAGACCTTTCTAAACTTCCCTTATATTCATAATTAGAGGTTAAGCCACTCTAGAAAGCAATTTGGAACCATGCTTCCAAAACTTCTAAACTCTTTGACTCAATGATAACAAAACTAGGCCTATACCCCAAAGATAGAAAAGGACTTATGTCTGTTAAAAATAAAAATTATAGTAACTCTTTTTCTGACAGCAAAGAACTGGACACTGAGGGAATGGCCATTGACTGGGAATGGCAGAATGAATTATGGTGTAGTAGAATGCTATTATGACAAAGAAATGATAAAAAGGATGGTTTCAGAGAAATCTGGGAAGACCAGTATGAACTACCATTACTTAGTGAAGTGAGCAGAACCAGGAGAACAATTTATACAATATTAAAAACAGTGTAAAGATAAACAATTTTGAAAAGTTTCAGGACTCTGATCATGGAAGAGAATAGGCATTTAAATACTTACTATGTGCTAGGAACTGTGCTAAGAGATTTACAAATACTTCATTTGATCCTTACAAGACTGGGAGGTAGGTGTAGTCATTATTACCATTTTAAATCTGGGGAGACTGAGGCCCAACAGACATTAAAAGATTTGCCCAAAGTCATACAACTAATAAATACCTAAGACTAGATTTGAACTGAGGTCTGTTCTGACTCCAAGCCTAGTTCTCTAACCACTTCTCTTCCACCTAATTGCCTCAATGTTTGACTAATACAATGGCAATCATGGCCATGATTCCAGAGTACGGTGACATTTACTGTCCAAGGGTGCATGAAAAAAGGGTTTGCTTGTTAAGAAGTTCTACTTCTTCACTTAAGACAGGGGTGAAAGAAAAGATTTCTGAGCAATGTGAAATGAAGAGGAGAGGAAAAAAGGGAACCCTTGGGACATGGTCTCAGTTTTTTATTTTTTTTTTAGTGAAATATGAGGCAAGGTTCTCAGTCAAGATGGTGAATGAAAGAATGAAGCATTTATTAAGATTTGTTTACATAAAAAAGTTATTTGCTAAGTGCTGAAGGTACATTTAGAAAAGTAAGACATTCTCTGCTTCCAAGGAGCTCATATTCTATTGGAGGAGACAACAGGGGCAAGTCAGATGGAAAAGTCCCATGGTCCTTAAGCTGTAACAGCAAAACAGATTATAATGCCTCTTCTTTTGTGGAATTTCCATTGATAACATCTTATCAGTGTCTGAAGTTGAACCATTTGATATTGCCAAGAACTTTGGTAACAAGAACTTTTCTTTCTGGGTCTTCAGTATTTGTGGCTAGGTTGCATCTCCATAGAGGTTGCTTCCTAGGATGGTGGCTGTGGGCAGTGGCCTGGAAGCATTGCTAGTCCCAAAGCTCTTGGACTCAGGGTTCTAGGCTGTCTCAATCAAGGTCCAAGGGGAGATATTGGTTAAGGTGGTGGTAGTGGTTTGACTTGTTTGGCACATGCTACCTCCTGTCTCTCCCTCAGGGTGCCAGGCTGTCTTGCTTCCTCTATGGGGAGAGAAGGGACACAGGAGCTTTGAGGAGGGATGAAAAAGTTTGGAAAAGCTGCTGTGGTGAGTGGAATAGTGAATAGATTAAAGAGATATAAAATTATAAAATGTCAAAAAACAAGATTGTTGCAGTGAGGGCCCAGTTGAATGTTGATGGTTTTGAGTCTCAACCTCCTAGAAAAGTGTAACAGTAGTTGTAGATCCCAAATATTATTTTAAATCTTTCTATCAATGTAAGCTTTTGAGTCGTGTGTGTTAAGCATTTCTTTCATATAGAGGAAATAAATATCTATCTATAACTGATTTATATTGTACATTGAGTACCTTTCTATTTACTGTCCACTTTGAGAAGACGTGAGTCAAACCTAAGATATATGTAATTTTCCCTATAGTGCCAACATGGAAACCTAAGGAGTGAAAGAATGGGAAAAAAAGAGCCCGACTTTTCTTTTAGTTGGTTAGGCTCCCTCAGGATTGAACCTGGGATGTGTGTGCCTGGGTCTAGAGCTTAGTGGAGAGGAGGGTGAACTGCTCTAAGCCCCTCTTGGGCCCTGCAGGCAGCACTGCAAATTATTAGACCTGATTTTCCTAAAAACAATTTGCAGATTTACAACTTTTATAACAAGTGTAAAATTGCTTTCTTGTGCCTTTGCCTCAAGTGCAGGGATTATATCATACTTCTTTTGAGTCCTTTGGCACATATATAATTTCTGGTAAATATTTGATTAGTCATTCAATTTAACATTTATTAAACGTTAAGTCAAGCCCCTGGGCTAGGCAACATGGAAGGAAAGACAAAAATAAAACAGTCCCTGCACTCAGGAAGCTTATTTTCTTTACCATACATTGCTAAGTAAATGCAATTATTTTGAGGACAGAGTAGCAACAACTGGGGACATAAGAGAAGGTTCCACAGAGGGGTGGCAGCTGAGCTGAGTCTAAGGTAGGTAGGAATTTAAGAGGCACTCATGAAGAAATGATGTCTTCATAGCCATCATGGGAGGCACTCAGGAAGACGGTGCATTTCAGTGTTTGGGGACAGCTTGTTAGTATGGAGACCTAGGCCAGAGATAGAATGTTAAGTTCAGGGAACACTTAGCAGTCCTGTCTGTCAATCATAAACAATGTGTGAAGGAGGAATGTAGTGAAAGCAAGCTAGAAAGGTTGGGAGGTCCAAAGGGCCATAAAACTGTGCATTATCCTTTGACCCAGAAATACCACTACTAAGTTTATATCCCAAAGAGCTCAAAGGAAAAGGACATTTGTATATATGTGTGTGTGTGTGTATGTAATTTATACATATATACACAAATACACATATATACAGATATATACATACAAAACTATTTATGGTAGGTCTTTTAGTGGTGATGAAGAGTTGGAAATTGAGATAATGCCTATCAGTTGGGGAATGGCTGAATAAATTGTGGTATATGATTGTGATGGGATATTATTGTGCCAGAAGAAATGAAGAGCAGGATGTTTTCAGAAATACCTGGGAAGATTTACATGAACTGATACAAAGTGAAATTAGCAGAACCAGGAGAACATTATACACAGTAACAGTAACATTCTATGATGTTTGACTGTGAATGATTTACTTATTCCAATTAACTCAAAGATCCAAAATAATTCTGAAGGACTTATGATGAAAAATGCTATTGACCTCCAGCTAGAGAACTGAAGTTTAAGTACAGATTGAAGCACAATTTTTTAAACTTTTTTCCTTTTTTTTTTTTGTAAAGTAGCTTAATATGGAAATTATTTCACATGTATAATTGATATCACATTTCTTGCCTTCTCAGTGGGTGGTAGAGGGGCAGAAGGGAGCATATTCAGAACTCAAAATTTTAAAATTGTTAATTGTTAAAAATTTAAAAAAAAAATTTTTTTTAAATAGACTATAGGACCCAGATTAAGAGGAACCTTAAATGACAAGTTGAGGAGTTTCTATTTTATGTTAGAGGTGATAAGAGAATATTGCAGGTTTTGTTGTCAGGGAAGAGACCGGTTCAAAACTGGGCCTTAAGAGTATTTTGGCAGCTCTTTGAAAGATAATAGTAGTAATTATGGACATCTTCCCTGATTCCCCCTTAATTCTAGTGCTGTTCCTCTGAGATACAGCGTATCCTGTGTATAGAGTTTGGGCAACAATATAGACTTCGAGGCATCTTCACAAAAGATCAACTGTTACAAAATTAGTATCAATCAATAAACATTTATTAAGCTCTTACTATGTGTCCTTACACTGTCCTAAGAGTTTGGGATACAAAAAACAAAAAACAAAAAACAAAGCAAGAGAGTTCCCGCCCTCAATCTAATGCGTGTTATACGATCCTTCGTAGACTGGCCACTGCTGGACAGCTCGTACAAAAGCAGCACCGCTTGGGGAAATCACTAGTGCTGGAAAGTTCCCAAGAAACCTTTCTGCCCTGGGAAAAGGGCACCTGCCCTCACCCAATATGGCGGCAGATGGGACACATTCAGTCACGTGTCCTCCCCAAACGTTCCAAGGGCTATACGTCCTCTTCGAATTTCCGTTAGAGCCGGAAGCTAAGGGGCGAGCACTTTTCTGTAGCGCTCCTCGTGTTTGCGGCCGCAGAAGCGGGCTTCTTTCTCCAAGTCGGGGTACTTCGTAGCCGGCACCATGGTGAGTAAGGTTGGGCCCTCGGGGAAAGCGAGGCCTGGGTTGGGGAACAGGCCAGGACGTGTTGGGGACGGGGCCGGGCTAGGGGCCGGGGATGGCGGGGATAGTGAGAACACTGCAGAGGGCGGGGCCGAGCGACCAAAGAGGTCAGAGGTCAGGGTCCTGCGGGGAGTGTGTGTTGGGGGGAGGGTTGTCAGGTTCTCTGTGTTCGAGGTGGGGAAAGTGAAGTCAAATCAACAAAAATATATTAAGCACTTATTCTGTGCTAGATCCGTTTAGGCAGATAGATAGCGTTTAGCTGGAGATACAAAGAAAGGCAGAAGACAGACCCTGCTCTCAAGGAGCTCACAGTATAATGGGGAAAACGATAAGCAAACAACCATGTGCATGCAAGCTGTTTACAGGATAAATTGGAAGTGATCCACAGAGGGAAGGACTAGCATTAAGGGGAATCGGGAAAAGGTGGGGTGTGGAGGATGACAGGATCATAGAATTGGGTCAGAGGTCACAACTCTATTCCTAGGGATTAAGAGCCTAGAGTGTGTTTGTATGGAGTGTCAAAGTCATATAAGGGGGAAGGTCAAGGCTAGGACATTTAGAAAGGGATAAAGGGTCACGATCTCACAGTGGTGGGGGAAGCATTGCAGGATCTTGGTTCTGTAGAGGAGGTAGAGAATGGCTGGAAAGGGAATGGGGGAGAAAAAGTACCCGGTGGGAAGTAGTCAGCCCAGGGCCCAGAGTCAATATTTTTTCCTCTCAATTCTCACAGACGGTGGGCAAGAGCAGCAAGATGCTGCAGCACATCGACTACAGGATGAGGTGCATCCTGCAGGATGGCCGCATCTTCATCGGCACCTTCAAGGCCTTTGACAAGCACATGAACCTGATCCTGTGTGACTGTGATGAGTTCAGGAAGATCAAGTGAGGAGGGCACTGGGTTGGGAAGCTTGGGGTGTGAGGAGGGGAAGGGAGTGTGGAGGGCAGGTAAGCTAGGCTTCTTGTACTTACATTTACAGAACTCTAACAGATTCTCCTCTGTTTTAGTCCTGAACACCATCCCCCTCCCACTTATCCCCACCCCCAACTTTAGTGGATTTTGAGGAGACATTTATGCCCAGACGTAATGTACACTTAGATGTTTACCAGCACACATCACCTGGAAATGATAAAAGGAAGCACAGTACAGTGGGAGGAGCCTTGGTCTTGGGATAGCTGATAGCTAAATAAAACATTTATTAAGTTTTTAGTATACCAGGTACTGTGCAAGGGAATCAGGAAATCTAGGTCCTAGATTTCTATAGGCATATAGCCCTGAGCACCCGGTTCTGTGCCAATGGATTTTTCCTAGGCATTTATGTCTAGGCTGAGTTTCCCCATCTATAGAATGAGGGAGTTAGACTAGATCAGTCCTTCACAACTTGCTGCCAGGCCACTTAGAGCCCTCAGGTCACTTGCAGCAAGAACACCAAAGGATGTTTTCCTCTACATTTTTCGATGGCAGATGGAAATCCTTTGTGCTACAAGTGGTCCTCAGGCTGAAGGTTGTGTAGACCTGGACTATATAGTCTTTAAAGTCCTTTCTACCTTAACAGTCACAATCCTTCCCCTCATGAAATTTGGTGTAGTAACTCTAACATTCCATCCATGTTCTTTTTTCAGTGTTCTAGCTAAGGCCTTTGGTTCTGTAATTCCCATTGTGTGTTTTGGAGAGAATACTTAGTTATCTGGAAAACAGTCCCTCTTATTCATTGTTTGTTAAACTCCCAGTTTCTTAAGTTCCAGAGCTTTATTCCCAATAAACAGTGACATTTAATGAAATATGTTCATGTCTTTATTTTAATTTTTATCTTTTGTTTTTTTCATCAAGTTCATTTCCAAATATAGTCATTCCCCCATCCCTTCCTCCAGTAGCCTGCATTTGTTACAAAGTATAAAAAGAAACAAGGAAAAAATGTCAGTTCAGTAAAATTACCCCATACATAATGAGTTGGTCTTATTTAATGAGTGGTATGCTTTGAAGTAAATTCACTTCAACTTAGCAAACAATTATGAAGCTTCAGTACTATAAGGCCGAAATAGTCTCATGTAGTAATATATATAATATTGTTCTCCTAACCTCTGTCAGAGGGCTGTGATTCTATGAGATCATCCTTGGGTGAAGGCATCTTGTACTGTAGTTAAGGATTTTAAAGGGGGAGCTGATTTTCACATTTAGTTAATTGTGTTTTCTGTGTAAGACATTGTGCTTCAAACTCCAACAAGCATAATGATGAATAAGACTTGGATCCTGTCCCCAAGGAGCTTATAGTTTAGTAGATGGAATATCAGTTATATAGATATTTATAATGCAATATTTAGAATGTGATTCATGCTAAAAGGGGTATGGAGTGCAGTTTGAGTATTAAGATCCTTGTTATGTGAAGTTCTGCTCTAATGCTACATAAGGCTGGATTTTAAATTATATCTACTGGTGACTGGCTGTGTGACCTTAGACTAGATCCTTTCCTCTCAGGGCCTAGTTTTCCTCTTCTGTAAAATGAGGGGATAATATGGTTTCTAAAGTCCCTTCCAGCACGCAAGTCTTGTGTTCTAAGGTTCCTTTCAGTTCTGACATGCTATGTTCTATGTTTTAAGGACCTGCCCAGCTTTAACATTCTATGATTCTAAGTCTTCCAACGTTAAGGATCCCAGGACTTCTTGAGTAAGTTACGGGCCTAGGACAAGGTGAAGGTTTTGAGGGATCCTAGGAAGCCTAGGAGCATAGAATTGCCTGTGTTGTGCAGGCCATATTCAACAACCTGTTTCACTAACATACATATTTCTGTCCTTCAGGCCAAAGAATGCAAAACAACCTGAACGTGAGGAAAAGAGGGTTCTGGGACTGGTGCTGCTTCGTGGGGAGAACTTGGTCTCTATGACTGTGGAAGGCCCACCCCCTAAAGATGTAAGGCAAAAGGGTTGGGAAAGGACAGGGAGGGGAACCCCCATCGGGGTTTGGAGGTACTCATCTTAGGAGCCTATAAAACTAAGAGAGAGGATGTGTTTGTGCCTCTTTCTGAGTCAACTGGGTGTTTAGAAGCCAGAAAGTAGCTATAGTAATTATCAAGTGCCTAGCACTTAAGTTTGGCTGGCTTTAATTAAATATTCTGATAAAGTTAGAATTACTAAGTGGATTAGGATCAATCTAGAGATTTTAGTGTTCATTGAGATAATAAATATTAAAATTTGGAAGAAATTTGAGTACAGGACCATCCTCACCCTTGTAAGTGTCATTTAAATGCTGCTTTGAACAACTTTCTTCTCCGTTCCCCTCATTGGTGCCCTCCACTCCTGAATGAAAGGGGCAAGGTAACAGGGAATATTTCTGTTTTGACTCGATGACATTCAATTTCTAAAGTCAAGGTGTTAAGCTAGATGATCTGTAAGGTCTTCCAGCTCTGATTTCTGTGATTCTAATAATGATTCCCAGCATTGATGCTCTAGGTTCTGAGGTCCTTCTCAGCTCTTTCTGATGTGCTATGTTCTAATGAGGTTGGATTAGATGATCTATAAAAGTCTTTTTCAGTTCTAAATTATAATCTTGTGCCCTCATTTGAACTTCACACCCACCTATGAGGCTGTTTATGCAGGGCAAATCACTTAGCCTTGGTCACCCTCAGTTTCCTCATCTGTAAAATGAGGATATTAATAGCATCTACTTTACAGGATTGTTGTGAGGAATCAGATGAGTTAACATGTAAATCACTTTGCCAACCTTAAATTTAGCTCAGTATGAATGTTAGCTATTGTTGCTGCTGTTGTCATAGAGAAGGTATTTGTTCATTTATGGGTTGAACCAGGTGGCTTCTGAGAATTCTTCCAATGCTGAGAGCCTGTTTTCCCATGAGGGTCCTTCTCTTGGTAAAAGTCTATAAACCTCTGAACCACATATCAGAAAAATGGGGGTTACAACTTTAGGATTTTTCTTTTGAAAGCTTGTAGACCATTAATATCCATAGATCATCATTTACTATATCCAAGTATTAAGAGCACAGTAAAATGTACAAAGCACTATAATTACACAGACATAACACTGCCTCCCTCGTAAACCCCCATGTGATATGACCATAGTCTAAGTGATTTTCATTTCACAATATCATTAAATCTTTATGACCAGACTCTGCAGTAACATTGCCTGGCTCCACTGTACCTGTTATCCAAGATAAGAATTGGACTGTTGGTGTGAACAGAATTTGTACCTAAGCCCTTGGCTGCATTAGCTCTCTGAACACCAGTCTGATCAAGGTCCTACTTATAGTACTGTTCTCATGGCAACATTCCCCAAACTCATTTGACCATAAAATGCTTTGGGACTTGAAATATCTATCTATCTATCTATCTATCTATCTATCTATCTATCTATCTAT